CTATTTCGTTATAACCGACTTCGTTATAACCGGTCTCCACAGTATGTATTGCTAGTTTGATGATGATGATTTGGAGCTTAGTGACTGTTTGTAAACAGCGCGTCGGTCTTGGAGACACGCTGTTTACAAAAAAGCTCGCGTTTGCCCACACCAGGTGTGGGCACTGCGCGTGCGCAGAAAGCAGATTTGCGGGAGGTGAAGCTTCTGCGCATGCGCCGTGACGACAACAGCGCCACCGCAGAGGCGTGACGTCTGAGCCGCGTGTTGGTCTATAAACAACTTAATTCGATTTGATTTCCCCGCACACATCGGATTTTCTGAGCGTATACGCGTCTAATCGTATTCCGAGCTTTGCCATTTGATAGGATCCTTCTCCTGTTCGCCATGATCGGTTGTCTCCGTGCGGTGTAGGGAAATGAACTCACATTCTTTTTTTTTTTGAGTGCAGACTAGGCGTGTGCCATGTGCAGATTGGGTGTGTGCAATTCGTAGCAATGTAGAGAGTTGAACTAGTAGGTATGATGACATCGCATTAATACAGCGCACAAACAGAAAGGAAAAGGAAAGAATACAGAGCGTTCTCATCTCTTCTCTTCCTCCCTGCTTGTGCGCTGTTTTAATATGACGTCATTCGTAGCCTTCGCATTCGCAGTCCTAGGGAGACCAACGACATACCGACATTTTTTTAGCAGCGTTGAGGCGAGGGTTGACTCGGCGCCATTCGATTAAAAGCTGTGTTCGTAGACATTCTCTTAGCATTGACCGTTTGACACTGCGAAGGCTTAGCTTCTTTTGCGGCCTTTGGTATGATGAAACACACAGATTTCCCTTTTTTGACTTTAGGTAGCCTTAGAGAGAAATCAGAAGTGGTAGGCGACTAAATGCAGTTTAATGACTCACTCTCATTAAACCAAGTTTTCCTAGTATTTGTAAAGAAGGCGCATATATTCCCGAGGGCGTGAAATTTAATAACGCGGTTGAGAAATTTCGCGAGTGCGGCAATGAGGTTAGTTTAGGATAAGCCTGATTCCACAGTAATGTTTCTCGTCTATCGTGGAGTGCTGCGCTGGCTGGAGGGTGGCTTCTTTCCGGTGCCCACAGGGACGCTCAGGACTCGGTGGTAGAGTAAATAAATATATATTTACAGATTATGCACAACTTTTTACAAGACAAAACAATTGTCACGCTGCTGATGCCGCGGCAACCCAACGCCAACAATAGCGCCTCGGCGCCAAGTCCCTTGCCGCGCACGGCAAGTTCTCTGCCCCGCAGGACAAAGTACGCGGAGCCCTCGGGACCGCGGGAGATCACGACTTGCTCCGCGCACGGGCTCGTTGAAACTCAATTTCTCCAAAAAGGCGCACCGACATTCCGAAGGGAGGCCGGACCTCCCTCTCTCCCCCAAAGTCGCCGACATGGCCCTGACAAGGTCGCCTCCCCAATTACCTCGGCGGCAAGGGCGACCACCCGCGAACAGAGGTATGTTTACTTCCCACGCGGGGAAATCTGCTTCCACTTTCGGGAGCTGGCCTCCGTTTGCCGCCAAAGGGAAAGTCAAGACATCGGGCGCCTCCGAAGGACGCTTCGGGTGACCGCGCCGCCAATTCCCCGAGCTCTTTCGGCTAAGCCCCTTCGGCCATCCCTACACGTCCCCCCGAAAACTGCGCTAGGACTTCTGGACTAGCCAGCAGTTACAAAATCAGGATGGCCGAAAACCCAACAAGAACACAAAAACAACCCGCTTAAACTGAAGCGAAAAATAAAAACAACAAAACACATGGCTGGAGATAACGAAGCCAGGCACCTCTAGCACCAATTGCTATATAAAACTGAGAGAAAAAAAAAAGGACAACACTTCTTAGTACACTCCGTTTCTCAGCAGGTCTCTCGAGGACCTGGACCGCTCGCAACAACGACACCGTTGGTGCCGCAAGAGCTTCCGCAACCAAAAGACAAAAACATCAATAAATCACGGAAAACCAACAGTCAAGGGAAAACTGAAAACGCTTGGTGAACACTGAACAACGCTGAATCGTTCGATTACACAAAATAAAACACAGCCACGCTCCTCTAGCATGACTTGCTAAATAAAGATTAAAACAGGGAGAACACTTATTTCTGCTTGTGGAGACAAAACCTTGATCACCCACTCCGCTAGACTCTGCGGACCTGTCTTGCTCGCACCAGCGACACCAAGAACGCTGCAAGCGTTGCCGTAAACAAAAAGACAACAAAACTCGAAAAGCGCGGCAAGCGCTACACAGCAAGTGTGAGTTCAATGGCACCTCGCAAGGGCCACGGCAGTGATCGCTTCCCCACATGCACGCCCGCTGACACCATGTGTATGAGCGCGACAAAGCGCTCCCTTGCCGCCATACAATCACCCCTTACACGAGCACCTGTGTCGAGTGTCACGGTGACAGTGTAGCTCGCCAGAGCTTCATTAGGCACACGAAGGCGTGCTCGGCTCGGCCTCTCCACAGAACCGCGTTCGGCAACCGCTTCGCAGACGTCACAGAAAGGACAGACTTTGCGCCCATGGCGTGCCATCGCCATCCCCGCTCCAAGATTGTCGCCCCACGGCGATTCGTGCTCGTCCACCGGTACCTCCTCGCGCCGCCCGCTTGGTGGCACCCACTGTGTCACACCTTCACCACAAGGCCCGTCGTGTGGACGTCGAAGTCCAACCTGAACAGCTGCAGTAGCCCCCCTCGCGACATCAGCCTCTACCAGCCTCCCCAGTGTCGGTCCCGACCCCTGGTTCTCCGGGAGCTCCTCCCCTCCAGCTGCCCGGACGCAGGAAGACCCTCGTTCGCAAGCGATCCGATCGGCCTCCGACCACACGGCAGTCTCCAGACTCTGTATGGCGCGATCGGCCTCGGAACCCACGGCAGTGTCCGGTTCCTGGCCAGCGCGATTGGCCTCGGACCCCACGGCGGCCCCTGGTTTCTGTATGGCGCGATCGGCCTCAGACCACACAGCAGTGTCCGGTTCCTGGACAGCGCGATTGGCCTCGGACCCCACGGCTGCCCCCGGTTTCTGTATTGCGCGATCGGCGTCCGACCCCACCCCAGTGTCCCGTTCCTGAACAGCGCGGTCGGCCTCGCACCCCACGGAAGTCTGCGGTACCGATACCTGAACGACACGATCGGCCCCGGACCCCAAGGTAGTCTGCGGTACCGGTACGGCTGGATCGGCCTCAAAGCCCACTTCCTGGAGAGCGCGATCGGCGTTGGACCCCACCGCAGTGTCCGGTTCCTGAGCGACACAATTGGACACAGAATCCACGGCAGTGTCTGGTTCCTGGACAGCGCGGCTGGCCTCGGAACACACGACAGTCCCCGGTTCCCGAAAGACACGATCGGCCTCGGACCCAACGGCCGCCTCCGGGTCGCTTCGCGCCTCCGGTCCTGTCTCTCTGACAAAGCGACCCTCGGGCGCCGTGCCTTCCGCTGCCCGAGGCAGCGTCTCCTCACGGCGCTGCCCGAGGAGCCGCGCTCTAGCTCTCCGCTCCTCCGCCCGGAGCTCTGTCTCTCGAACCTGCCGCTCCAGGTCCTTCGTTTTTTCCCTCGCAAGGGCTAACCGAACGCTCATCGGAACCGCTTCCTTATGCGACCCCTCGTCGCCTCCGTCCCTAGGGCTCCCCCTCCTACGCAAGCTACACTTCGTCATGCAGCTAAGCGCGCGGGTGTCAGCCGGCGACGAAAGGGAAAGCGACCACGTACCTGGCGATGCTGCGGAGTCTACGATAGCCGCTGATGTCGCCGGCCCGCAGGTCCTCGGCGTCGATCACACCCCGGGGAGTCCGTTGTCTTGAGGCTTCCTCTCCGCCGTAGCAGGCGCCGACCTTGTCTCGTTGACAAGTCTCGATGAGTTGGTCACCCTTGGTCGACTGAAGTTCGTCTTCCCGAATTGTCGAGTTGCTGCCTCTCAGTGCCGCCGCGCACCGCACCAACACAGGCGTCGTCGTTTCCGCCCTTGAAGTCATTGAAAGTGGCCGACGACGTCCACCATCCCCGTCGACTGCGCCAGTAATGTTTCTCGTCTATCGTGGAGTGCTGCGCTGGCTGGAGGGTGGCTTCTTTCCGGTGCCCACAGGGACGCTCAGGACTCGGTGGTAGAGTAAATAAATATATATTTACAGATTATGCACAACTTTTTACAAGACAAAACAATTGTCACGCTGCTGATGCCGCGGCAACCCAACGCCAACAATAGCGCCTCGGCGCCAAGTCCCTTGCCGCGCACGGCAAGTTCTCTGCCCCGCAGGACAAAGTACGCGGAGCCCTCGGGACCGCGGGAGATCACGACTTGCTCCGCGCACGGGCTCGTTGAAACTCAATTTCTCCAAAAAGGCGCACCGACATTCCGAAGGGAGGCCGGACCTCCCTCTCTCCCCCAAAGTCGCCGACATGGCCCTGACAAGGTCGCCTCCCCAATTACCTCGGCGGCAAGGGCGACCACCCGCGAACAGAGGTATGTTTACTTCCCACGCGGGGAAATCTGCTTCCACTTTCGGGAGCTGGCCTCCGTTTGCCGCCAAAGGGAAAGTCAAGACATCGGGCGCCTCCGAAGGACGCTTCGGGTGACCGCGCCGCCAATTCCCCGAGCTCTTTCGGCTAAGCCCCTTCGGCCATCCCTACATCCACCAATGTGAGAATCTCTTAGTGAATTAGTAATGGAGCGTGATCTTTATGACTAGACTTTCGCTCTAGGATACTAAACCTCGAAGACGCAAAAACAAAAACGACGCGCACAGCCATAAGAGATTTCAGATTTCGTAATTTCCCCGGCGCAGTAATTAACATTTCCTTAACCTTACTTGGTGCTGACGTAAGGCTAAAAGACAGTCATACGAAGATCTTGAAGGTCGCCCTTCTTTTGTAAACGTTTTGATTGCGAGGAGCATTGCGAACTAAGTATGTAAGTACATTTTGCGAGTTAACTATATTACAGTTTGTCCCCCTTAGTAACAAGGCCGATATTTGCTTTTTTTGCAGGCCCCATCAGCCGGTTCGAATGGCGAGCCGTCGTCTTCCTCTGCAGGCGCGTCCAGGGCGTCGTCTTCTACCGGGACGACTCGGTCCTCGTCGCCGTCACAGAGCGCCTGGGCCGTGGCCGAAGTTCAGGGCATGATGTGAGTCTCTCTCCCGAACAGGGCTCCTGCCTGGTTAGAACCCCCTGCAACAAAACGAAAAAAAGAAAAAAGTGCTTTTATTGTAAGGCGTCGAAGCCGAAATAGGAACATGTTTCAAAATCGTTCATAAACCTAAATGAGTCTCACGTACGACGCAAGTATTGCCCTAATATACAGGGTGTTTTTTTTTTTTTTATTCTTACATATTTGTTTAAAAAAAAAACGTGAAAGCTACACTTACGCGGTTTGTGCAGGTGAGTTATAGGGCCAGGCGGACATTATGTGGGTGGCTAATCTTTGCGATAAGTCGGCTAATTAATTAAAATTTGTCAATTAACTTTTTGAATTACTGCAAATAGACATATGATTTCAATTAGAAACTTGTAGAGCATCATCGAAAACCACTAAATCAACTATTTTTGGAAAGATATAACGCCGGGGTAGCATTTTACGGCGTTCTGTAAAAACGCTTCATTTGGACGCGTTTCTAGATTTCGGTTTCTTATCGGAGCGCATCACCGCGCCCGCGGTCCTGCTCCCCAGTGGCTGAGACGCGCAACACACGTGCGCCCTACTTCCCTCCATTCTACGAGGGAGGCGAGGAGGTGGCTTCGCGTCCCGACCACCGGGGAGCAGGATCGCGGGCGCGGAGATGCGCTCCGGTAAGAAACCGAAATCTAGAAACGCGTCCAAATGGAGCGTTTTTACAGAACGCCGTAAAATGCTGCCCTGGCGTTATATCCTTCTAAAAATAGTTATTTTAGGGGGTTTCGATGACGCTCAGCAAGTTTCTAATTGAAACCATATGTTTATTTTAAGTAATTAAAAAAGTTAATTAACGAATTTTAATTAATTAGCCGACTTATCGCAAAGATTAGTCACCCACATAATGTCCGCCTGGCCGTATAACCAACCTGCACAAACCGCATTATTGTAGCTTTCACGTTTTTTTTTAAACAAATGTGTAAGAATGAAAAAAAAACAAAAAACACCCTATATATATATTTTTTTTTTTTTTTTTTTCTGGGAAAGATTTTTTTTTTGGACTAATTATTCCTCTTTTACAGATAAAAATATTTTTTTAGCTTAGTGGGTTTTTTTTTTTTTTTTTATTGAACCGTGCATTTGTGCATGGCTATTAACGTAACGCTCCCGCCGTTGTCTCCAATGTCTGTTTTATTGTCAGTCAACTTTGTGAGGCCCTGGACGGTTTTGTTGCAAAAACGTCGATATCGAGGATTAATAAAGCTCTTGGCTGGAGCTGAATGAATATTTCGAGTTGAAATTGTTTCAGAATCCCTACTGTAACTGATTGGTATGCGCTGGGCCTGCCAACGACCGCAGTTTGATGGGAGATCTACATTAAGACTCCGATTATTGGAACTAGATTGTTCCTCGGAAAATGTCTGCATTACTAGATGCTGAGGTCGAAAGGACGCCCCAGTTCTTCGAAACTCGTTTTAAGCAGAGAGAACGGTAACTCTACAGGTTTCTGGCGCTATTGACGGGAAGCTTAAACGAGGGGTTATTCCCATGCAAAATCAATCGAAGGCGCCATAAGCATGCAGCACTTGGAAGAGGAGAATGCTTACTTTCTCTACGTCGGGAATGGATTGAGCTGGACTCTTTTACTTGAGCAAGTGACTGCTCCTTGCGTTTTTCCAGGGCCTTGCATCTTACATGTCGAAATCTTCTGTATTTGGTTTGAATATTTTGGAGCTTTATTTTTCAAAAATTTTTTACCGTGATGTATCTTTTTCTTTTTTTTCGCCCCATTTGTGTTCCGTGCTTTAAAGCAATATATTTATTTTGAAAGGGACATTGCGAACGCAATGTCCCTTTCTTTTTGTTTGTACGGCGCTAGCACATCGTCTCTGTGCACTGCAGTTATGTAAAAGCAAATTTTTATGCTAATTATTATTGAGACGTTATTAAGTAGCGCCACGGGTTCTAACCTTCGCGCACAAAACAAGTTTATGCCTCAAGATGTTTTGCGCGATGATTCGGTTTTCAGCGAGTCGTATACACAGTCGAATATAACTTCCCCGCTTTTTGTGAAATTATTATTTATTTATTTACGTATTTATTTATTTGTACCTGCATCGCCCAGTGGGCATTGCAGTAAGGGGAGACGGAGAAATATTAAGAAAGCACAGAAACAACAGAAAATTATAAATGATGAGATTGAACAAGATAAACACTCAAAAGGAAGCATTCTGAACCCACTACAATAACATTATCTCTGCGAAAAATAAATGAACGATAGGAAGATCTACAAATGGTTCGGGGAGCACGTTCTAATCATTAAATGTTTTGGTGTGGTTTTTAGAGCGCAGCTGTTAGGCGCCCGTTTCCGGCTTGAGCGGCGTCGCCGTCGGCGTCAGCGTAACCGTGAGGTCACGTGGCCCCCGTGAGGTCACGAGGGTCACGTGACCTCCTGGTTACGCCGACGGCGATGTCGACGCCGCTCGGAGGGATCCGTAGCAGGCAGGATGAGGAGGAGGGAGGAGGGGTAGACCCTCCCCTCAGTACCCTTCCCTCTTTGTCCTCAGGAGCTGCGCTTTAATTCGGTGTCACAGGGAGTTGTAAACGGCTTTAATTTCTTTTTGAAGACGTCAGTTTGTGCAAAAAAAAAAAAGTCCGCTACTTTTCTTTGGTTATTTATTCTATGAGAAACATATTTTGGAGCCATGATATATTTTGATATTTAGACCAGTGTCGCCGTAATAAAGGTTATGAAAAAATATAAGACGAAGATTTTTCCGCTTTTGCTGTAGACGTTTCCGAACGAGTCCCAACTTTATTTCAGAGATTTGCGGAAATCGTAGTTATTGGATAGATATCTCGACGCTTGGTTTTGGGTTATTTCTATTTGATTCACACAGCCTTGGGTATGCGGGTCTCAGATAATACAAGCGTACTTTAAAATCGGCAGGACGTAAGAAACGTAAAATGTTTCTTTTAGTCTGTCCAATCTTCCTAAAATTTCGACGCAAAAAGTGAAGCCTACCGCTATCCTTAGAACGCAGAGTATAACGTGATTGTTGCACTGTAAGCCAGCTGTGAGGTGCACCTCAAGATAGACTGCCTCCGTGCAAAGCTTTTAAACTAAGGTTGCTTCATATAAATGACGTCGGAACAATTTTACGCTTGCTAGTAAATCTAACATGACTGCATTTGGATATACCAAGTGACATTTTCCATTTCTGACACAACTCTGAAGTTTCGTTTAGATCACTCTGAATAACAATAGCGTCGTCGTCACTGAACACTTCTTTATATAAGACACAATCATCTGCGTACAACTTAATATTTAGCGACCACTCATTGGAAACCAATTGGTACGGGTATCAACTACCACGATGTTATGATAACGACTTTACTTTCAATTGTATTTTAATCATTTTCATTTCATTTATTTTACCCTCAGGGCATAAAGCATTACAGAGGGGGAGGGCGGACAATGAGTCGCCAGTGAAAAACTCAGGTGGGAAAATCGATGAACATCAGGATTAAAAAAAGGCAAAGAGACTAATCAACGCCTTTAGCAGCCTAAATGCTACGATTAATGGGCTGTTTAAATCTTCCAGAGGAGCTTTCGAGGCCGCAGTTTTACCATCCTTTTGCTTCTGCGGACGCAACTTCCCACACGAATAAAGCCGTGCACATGCGCAGACTGGCGTGATCCTTCAAGATGGCGTCGGGGACTAGTCTTTTCGTGCGGCGCATGGCGCTCTTTTTCCTCTAAGTGGTCCGTACGTCTGATCATTCGAAAGACTTAGCGCGTAGAAGCGAGGAAAAAGGGAGCGTGGTGGGAAAGGGAATGGTGAAACTGAAGAATGAAAGCGCTAAAGAAAAAACCTGAAAAGAAAAATAATTTTTTTTTTAACAACCTGGTTGGGGCACTCGTGTCAAAAAAATTATTTTACGCGAAAAAAAAAAAAAAAAAAGAGCAATATTGACGGCGCGAGACGCGATTTAGTCGGTAGCCACATCCTTTCCACTTGTTTTCTCTCAAGGCGTTTCGGGCGCGTGGAGGAGAGGTGGATCAGCTTCGCCTTCACGTTGAGGTGGAAAGAGCGAATGACCATCTCGCTCAGCGAATGACCATTCCGTGACGTCATGGATTTTGCGCGCAGAATTTCAGAGATCTCTCTCCGTCAATACTGCTCTAAAAAACTTTTTTTTTTTCGCGTAAAACTAATACCTCGGCGCGCGTGTCCCAACCAAACTGCTAAAAAAAACAAAAAAAAAAACGAACTTTTTTGTTAGGTTTTTTTTTTTTTTTTAAGTCAGAAAAGAGGGCACTCACAATTCTTCCGATAAACATCAACAGTTTAATTATGCTAAGAACGCTATGACGGTCTTTTTCGGTAAAAGCTATTTATTGTACATCGCATAAACAAAACCACTGTAACTTAAAAAAAAAAAAAAGGAATACAAAAATTTAGGAAAATTTTGGTTTGCTTTTGATTCGGGGAACCCGAACGAGATCCCGCCATCGTTCTAGCCTCTCTTTATATCTTGGTCGACTGGAGCGTATACTTTCTGCCAGGTTATTGCTTGGCCCTCCCCCCTATTTGGGGGGTTGGAGCCGCGCCGTGCGTGGATGGGGACGACATGTGCATCCGGGGAGGTTGACATCGCCGGAGGGGAACTTAGCGAAGGGGATCTTGGGGGGTGTCTGCGCGATGTGGGGTTATGGAGACTGGCGGTCATCCGTCAATGCTGTAGGGAAGGCCCCGCCTTTGTATGAGGGCTTAAAATGGGCAGCTACTCGTGCCCTTCATGCGCTCGCGGGTATCTTGAGTGCCTCGGCACGAGGATATAGGCCTTTGCAAGGGATGCCGGCGTTCCCGTAGTTCCTGTCCGAAGCAAATTGCGTACGACCTAGAGGTAAAACCTAAAAAAAGAGTTTTTGGCCTTTTGGTTTTCTTTTTTTTTCTCTGAAGCTCGGAAAATTGTGGAACAATTATATGTTTTATTTGCTTTATTGGGTG